CAGGTTGGGATACTTAATTGCTGGGTGTGGCTGCTCGAGCCTTTTCCAGTATTTGGTGGTCATTCTTTGAAGCTCAGACTAGTCACTCTTATGTAAGTCCTCATTTTGGACTTTATTATTATCATGTGTTACTTTATTATCACCTCAATTTTTTCCCTAGTGGTTGGGTCTGTTTATTACTGACTCAGTAGTTGAATAATGTAGAATATAGATGAATATAGAAGTACTCAAATACTAGGCCCTGTGTTCAGTGTTAGGGAGACAGAAGAGTAGGTGGAACCTTCCCTTGGGAATATGTAGTGTGAAGCCTGGATGCTTAGACTGCTGGCCCTTGCTTGTTTCTGTGTATTTGGCGAGAGAGTTGCTGGAGTCCTCTTGTTGATCATCACCACTGTCCTTTGGCACTGTTATTCTCTGCTTAGACTCAGCTCTGCAGCATTTAAGCTGAGAAGTTTTGTTCAGTTACAGATCTTCATAAAATATTCTAGAATGCCATTCATTGGAATGCTGAATATTAATGATGTACTTTGAATTTAGAGTGTTTTCACTTCAGCAGAAACATTGAAAAAAAACAACGAAGGTACCATTCAGCCTTCTCTGTTTCAACCATAACTGCATAGAAACAGATGTTTACATTTTCTTTCAAAGATGTTTCTCTTAGCTGGGTGTGGTGGCATACTCAAGTGGGAGGATCGTTTGGGCTCGTGGGTTTGAGATTGCAGTGAGCTGTGGTACTCTAGCCTGGGCGATAAAGACCTGTCTTTGTGTGATATATACAATGCATTATTGGAAAATACTTATTAAGCTTTCTTCACTGCTGCCAAAACCATTTTTTTTTTAAAGTTGGAGTCTCTGTCACCTAGGCTGGAGTACAGTGGCACACTCACAGTCACCCCAGTGTCAACCTGCTGGGCTCTGGCAATCCTTCTGCCACAGCCTTCTAAGTAGCCGGAACTACAGGCGTGTACTACCATGCCCAGCTAAGTTTTGATTTATTGTAGAGACGAGGTCTCACCAAGTTGCCCAGGCTGGTCTCGAACCCGCAGACTCAGGCAATCCACTTGCCTCAGCCTCCCAAAGTACTGAGATTACAGGCTGAGCCGCTGAGCTCAGCCCAAAACCATTTTTTAAGTTGCCACATATATTACATTTCTCATTGTCAGCCTCAGTATTTTGAACATTGGTGAAAACAGAGTAAGACGGTCATATTTAATATATGCCTCTACTGTGTTTCTTGCAGTAAGTCAAGTTTACATCCCTTTTGATGAATAGTTTTGTGATGAAGAATTAAATGAGGTAATCTAGTGGTGTATATCTTTCCCTGCATTGAGAATGAATATTCTTTTTTTTTTTTTTTTTTTTGGG